ACCCGGGGGCACGGCCACAGCCCACGTGCCCCACGGCGCTGTCGTTGCCCCTACCAGCGCCCCGCGGCCCCCAGCAGCGGTCGCAGGGGGTGTCTGCACACGGCCGCTCCCGCGCAAGGCCCAGCTCCCAGACAAGTGTCCCCAGACCCCAAAGGGGAACGTCCTTCCCGCTCAGCTCAGCGCACTGCCCCGTGGCCCCTGCCGGCTTGGCGCTCTCTGCCCCGGCCCACCCACCCCAAGGGACCACAGCCCGGGCTGCTCAGGAAGGGACGCGCAGCTGAGGAATGTTCCAAGGGGCCGGGGCCAGGCACAGCCTGGGCACCGCTTCAGACGACGCCTGGGGCTGCCCACGCAGCTCCTGGAGCCCCAAGGGGCCGGGGCCAGGCACAGCCTGGGCACCGCTTCAGACGACGCCTGGGGCTGCCCACGCAGCTCCTGGAGCCCCGGGCACTGCTCCCTCTTGGCAGGGCGGCACTCCCAACCGTGCCCTACCCCGAGCATCCAGGGGCAAGGAGGAGCAGCAGGTGGGCCCCAGCTGGTCGTCACCCGAGGCCTTGCCCACCCCCTGGCCACTCGCTGCCTAAGTGATGGCCTCGGTCCAGGCGCTGGGCTCAGTGGAGAAGCAGGGCCCGCCCAGCCTGCTCTCTCTGATGGCATAGCCCTTCTGGGACAGGGCATGGGCACCCCCCGGCAGGAGCAGTCTGCAGGCTCTGGAGCTGCCGGTCCAGCACCTTGCACCAGCGGCACGCAGCCGAGAATCAAATTCCTTGTGCCATATACAAGTAACCTGTGGAACTCACTGCTGTAGGGTATCAGTGAGGCGAACAAAGGTTCCAGCTGTCTATGCACAACAGCATGGAGAGTGCTTGTTGCTAAGTTACAGTTACAAGCTGATCACCCAGGGTGCAGCCTTAGCTAGGTGCAATGAGCTTTCCCCACCCTCCCCGGAAGCACCGGAGCTGGCTGCACAGGAGTGGCCCACAACGTGCCCCAGGTCACACGACAGGCGGCGGCAGAGCTAGGAACAGAACCTCGCTCTCCGGACCTCCAGCTCCAGGCTCCATTCACTGGACTGGGCTGCCTCCCTTCGGCTGGGCTGCCGTCTTCCCTTCGCACGCGGCCAGGCCCTGGCGTGCAGTGAGTAGTGTCAGCACACCTGCCCTGGCCAGCGTGGGGACACCAGGGGAAGGGTCCGTCACCGGCAGACAAGCCTGGCTCTCGGGGGAGGCCCGGTGCAGCCCCCCGAAGGATCCTGCACCTTGTCCCGGCCCCAGAGCGCAAGAGCCCTTCGTTCATAGCAGGTTTGCAAGGCCAGCCGGGCAGCGGGCACCTGGTGCCATCTGGAACGTGCCAATCTCTGGGGGGCAGCTCTGCCAACGGGCACGCCTGGGGGCTCGGCATGGGCGAAGCTGCAGACTCGGCCCTGCAGTTCGTGCGAAGGGCTCCCCCGGAGGCAGCGCTGCCAGACGCATGCGGCTCCCAGGGGGACGGCTCCTCGCGGGCTTGCAAGGCCAGCCGGGCAGCGGGCACCTGGTGCCATCTGGAACGTGCCAATCTCTGGGGGGCAGCTCTGCCAACGGGCACGCCTGGGGGCTCGGCATGGGCGAAGCTGCAGACTCGGCCCTGCAGTTCGTGCGAAGGGCTCCCCCGGAGGCAGCGCTGCCAGACGCATGCGGCTCCCAGGGGGACGGCTCCTCGCGGGCTGATCCCATTAGCACGTCCGCGCCGCAAGTGGTCTCTGGAGCTGGCCAGGCTGCCCAGCGGGGCCCAGGTGCGCCGAGCAGACGGGACAGGCCGCTTCCCTGCTGCGGGTTCCCGGCCCCTTGAATTCCTCCTGGCCTACAGGAAGGGAGGGGTCGGCCAGGAGCTGTGTTAGCCAGGGGGATGCACGCTGCAGGAGGGGCGTTAGGGCCGGGAAGCTACAATGAACACATCGTTTTCCAGCTGGCTGCCGCCCCCCACCCCAGCACGAGCTCC